ATGCATGCCCTCGTTTTAAGCGTGGCACTAATTTGCCCTTCTCCTCCGCCCGCCCGCCTGCCTGCCCACACTCACACATATACACACACACACACCATCCCACAGCCCAAGCTCATCAATGAGCGTCTCTTGACCGGGTCCTTCGAGGTGTGTGTCACCTCGCCGGAGATGGTCCTCGTGGAGCGCGGCCCGCTGCGCCGCATTCCCTGGTACTACATCATCCTCGATGAGGCTCACCGGATCAAAAACGAGAAGTCGTCTCTGGCGCGCATCATGCGCCAGATCTCCTCCCGCCGGCGGCTGCTCATCACCGGCACCCCGTTGCAGAATAACCTCCACGAGCTGTGGGCCCTGCTGAACTTCATCCTGCCGGACCTGTTCGCTCGCAGCGAGGACTTTGACTCCTGGTTTGCCTTCACCAGCACCGGCGAGGACGAGCAGGCCAAGGAACAGGTGGTCAACCGCCTGCAGAAGGTGCGCATCCTCATCGCCGGTCTTTTCTCCCTTCTTTTTTTCTCCCCCCCCCCACCCCTCCCCGCCCTGTTCCCCTGTCGATGGCTGACACCCGGACCGTCACCGATCCCCCTCCCCCCTCCGGCAGATCCTCCACCCCTTCCTGCTCCGGCGTCTGAAGGCCGACGTGGAGAAGTCCCTCCTGCCGAAGATTGACACCACTCTCTACATCGGCATGAGCCCCCTGCAGGCGGAGCTGTATGAGCGCCTGCTGATGCGTGACCTGGCCGCCGTCAATGGTGTTCTGTCCAAGGGCGAAGCCAAGACCCGGCTGCTGAATATCGTCATGCAGCTGCGCAAGTGCTGCAACCACCCGTACCTCTTCGATGGCATTGAGCCCGGCCCGCCGTATACCACCGGCATGCACCTGGTCGAGTCTTCCGGTGCGCGCTTTTTTTTTCCCCCCCCCCCCCCCCCCCCGCCAATCGGGCACCTTCCCTGGCGGCCGGCTCGCGCCGCATACCATCGCCCACCACTGACCCGGCGCCATGCCAACATGCGTGCTCACGTCACATCCAGGCAAGATGATGCTCCTGGACAAGCTGATGACCTCCCTCAAGGCCAAGGGCTCGCGTGTGCTCATCTTCAGTCAGATGGCTCGAATGCTGGACATCCTGGAAGACTACTGCCTCTTCCGTGGCCATGCATACTGCCGCATCGATGGCCAGACCCCGCATGAAGACCGCCAATCCCAAATTGATGCCTATAATGCCCCGGGGTCGGAGAAGTTCGCCTTCCTGCTGACCACCCGTGCCGGCGGCCTCGGCATCAACCTGTACACCGCCGACACGGTGGTCCTCTTCGACTCGGACTGGAACCCTCAGGCCGATCTCCAGGCGCAGGATCGCGCCCATCGGATTGGCCAGCGCCGGCAGGTCCGCTGCTATCGCTTTGTGACGGAATCCTCGGTCGAGGAAAAGATGATTGAACGGGCCGAGATCAAGCTCCGCCTGGACCGGGTGGTCATCCAGCAGGGTGGGGCCGAGGCGGCGCGTGCCATGCACTCGGCCGCCGCCGCGTCCAAGGACGAGCTGCTCGGCATGATTCAGCACGGCGCGCGCGAGCTCCTCAACGCCCGGGCCAAGGCCTCGGCCACTGCCAGCGAGGAGGGCACATCCGCCGGGGCCGATGGCACCGGGACCGCCGACGGTGCTTCCGAGCCTGGTGACGGTGCCCCGGCGGCCGGTGCCTCGCCCACCTTCAAGGCCATCACCTCTGTGGATGACCTGGACCTGGATGCCCTGCTGGAGCATGGCAATACCAAGACCCGCGAGCTGCATGATCGCCTGCGTGCGGCCGGCCTCGATGCCCTGGAGACCATGTCCCTCGGTGGGGATGGTGCCTCCGACCGGAGCGTCTACGAGTGGGGCGGCGAGGATTACCGCGACAAGCGCCGGCGTGAGGAGGAGGCTGCCGCCGCGGCGGCCACCCTGCTGGCTGTCGACCCGAATCAGGAAACCATCGGCGGCTTCGATGCGATGCTCCATGCATCCGGGCTGGGCGGTGCCATCCTGGCGGAGCCACTCCAATCGCGCCGGAACCAGAAGATCAGTTACAATGTCGATGAGTATTACCGGGATGCCCTGGCCACGGGCGGCCGGGCGGCCGGGTCGACGCCGGCCTCGCCGCCGGTTCCCCGGGCCCCGCGCCCTCCGCGCCAGGTGGCCGACTACCACTTCTACCCCGTGCGGTTCTTGGAAATCCAGCAACAGGAGCTGCTGCACTTTTGGCGGACCATCAACTACCGGCCTCCGGAGCCGTCCACGGCCACCGTGACGGCCGACACCTTGGCCCGGTACCCGGACGATGATCCGGAAACGCAGAAGGCCCGCTTGGCTCAGGCCCTGGCCGATGCCCAGCGCGAGCATCAGGCCCTGTGTGGGCGCATTGCCGAGGCCGAGCCCCTGACCGAGGAGGTGGTCGCCGAGCGTGATGCCCTGGCCGCCCAGGGATTCCCGGATTGGTCGCAGCGCGACTTCCGGGCCTTTGTTCGGGCATGCGAGCGCCATGGCCGCGAGGCGGTCGCCGCCATTGCCGAGGAGCTGGCCGCCAGTCCGCATGACAAGTCCCCCGAGGAAGTGCGCGCCTATGCGACGGCCTTTTGGTCGGCGGCCGCCGCTCGGCGCAGCCTGTCCCAGGCCGAATGGGACCGGGTTTTGGGGCAGATTGGCCGTGGGGAGACCCGCCGCGGGGGTGCACGTCTGGCCCAAATGCACCTCGAACGCAAGGTGGCCGCCTATGCGGACCCCCTGCGGCAGTTGCGCGTGGCATACGGGGCCGTCGGCTCGGCCGGCGGGGAGTCCTGCCTGGTCGGGGTCAATGCCCCATCGGCCGGTGCCGCGGCCCGTGGGCGCCTCTTCTCCGAGGAGGAGGACCGCTTCCTGGTGGTGGCCCTGGCTCGGATCGGGTATCCGGGCTCGGCTCCGGGGAGCTCGGCCGACGACGCGCCCGCCGTCTATGAGCGCCTGCAGCGGGTCATCCGCGCGTGGCCGGCCTTCCGCTTCAACTGGTTCATTCGCACCCGGTCGGTGGCCGAGCTGACTCGCCGATGCCAGACTCTGGTGGCTTGCATCGAGCGTGAGCACACCGACGCCGAAGCCGGCCGGGTGTCCGGCTCTCCGGCGCCCACCTCCGGCATCAAGCGCTCGGCATCCACCGCCGCGGTTGCCGGCTCGGATGATGATCCCCTGAGCTCCGGCCGTGTGACGCCCATCCCCGAGGCGGCTGCCCCGGCCAAGAAGCGTGCCAAGAAGGAGCCGTCCGCCCCGGGCGCCAATACGCCCGCGGGCGCCTCCCCCGGCACATCGCCTGCCACGTCCAAGAAGGCTGCCCTCAAGGTCGAGCAGTAGCTTCCCCTCTTTCTCCTTTTTTTTTGGGTGCTCGCGCGCGCGCACCTCCCCTCTTCCCCTCGTATGCGGGGCGCGTCGCCCTGTCCTTGAATAAAAAAAACCCACCAAGAAACCGAAACCCACGCGCACCATGCCACTACCGATGTCATCTTTTGCAAGCACACATGGCGGCACGGCAAATGCACGCACATCAGCAGGCGGGGGCGAGGGAAGTGGCGCGAAGGAGGTTCAGGTGTTATTGGGTTTCGCCAGGGTGGGAGCCTGGAACACGGGCTTGCTGAAGGTCGGGACGCGCGGGTCTCGCGCCCGGGGGTCAACGACCGAGTCACTAGGTGCCTGGGTCGCGACGAAAACCGGCACCTGCAGGTGTGGCGCGCCCAGGCCGTTGGCGCCAGGACCACCGCCGCCCCCGGGCCCGGTCGTGCTTCTGATGGTCGGCGGCCGCGTCGGCGACCCGGGATCCGAGAGGAAGCGTGGAGCGGCGAAGGCCCCGGCGCCGCTGCCAGGAGCGCCGGAGGGGCCGGCCCCGTGCCAGGCGCGTGAGATCGAGGCGGTCATCGAGTCGAAGAGGTGCGTGGCTCCCGAGGCTGACAAGAGAGCCCCGGCCAGGCTGCGCTTCACGGGGAAGCTGGGCGCCTCGGGCAACAGGGCGTGCAGCATTTCGGGGACGGTGACATTTTGGCCCGCCTGGCAGGACATTGCCCCGGCCACACTGCCCGGGTCTCCGCCAACCAGCAGCCAGCCAGCCAAGATCGGCGTCGCCAACGCCAGCGGGGAGCCCATCCACCCGGCCTGGAGGCCCATGTCGGTGGAAGTGGTGGCCAGGAGGAGCATGGCGATGGCCGGCACGGCGGCCAGTAACATGGCTGCCAGCAGCAGGCGCCGCCCATGGAAGAGCGCTGCGAGGCACATGTCGCTGCTCTTCTTTCCGAAGAGAAAAAGGATCTGCCAAAGGCAGATGTGAAGAGAGGGAGAGGGAGGGAGAGGGGGCGGAGGCTGGACAGGGCGGCGCCGAGTGTGTCGCCGGGAGACTGGCTCTCAAGGGCATGGGGGGGGGGGGGGGGACGGGGCGATCAGGCCCCGATCGCCGGCCGCCGCAGGGAACAGGAGGAAACGGGCGGAACGCCACACGGGCAGGTGATTTTGCTGGGCGAGGGGAGAGAAAAGCGCAACGGCCACCGGGCAGGGCTCAGATCGCAGGGGGGGGGGGGCGGCGGCCTAGATCTGGGCACGGGATCTTCGCGAGATTGAGCTCGTGCGTTCTGCATTCATCAGGTGGGCCTTTCTGGGCGTTGGTGCCGACCGTCCGGCCAGCCAGCCCGGAGATGGCTGCCCCGCCGTCCTGGGGCTTTCGTCCGCGCTTGGCAGCAGCCGGTCCACTTCGGAAACTAGTGATGCCCGCCCGGGGGGCTGCAGGCCGGGGCCGGGCCGCCCTTAACCAGTGGCCGGGGAGGCTCATGCATCCGGACATCCGCGCAGACAGAGTCGCATACATGCCTCTCTGCACACACGCACACACACACACACCCACAGACACTTGACCTTTTCACACACACACGTCCACTTGCCCCCCCGCGGCCGAGCATCCAGGTCCCCCCTTCGCGGTGCCCATCAACCGGGGCTGGGGGGGCGCAAGGGGAGCCGTCCTGCGCCAGGACGCCGAACCAGACCCATCCAGACCTCTTCTCTCGCCTCCTCCCCTCCCTCCGCTCCTCGCTTTCCTCCCTTTTGCTGGCTTTCCTCCACCCCTGGCCCCGCCAACAGCGCTTGCCTGTGCGTCACCCGTTGTCGCTTCATCATCGTCATCATCATCAGCCCTTTGGTGAGGTCCCTCGCTCCCCGCCCTCCTCGTCTGCTCAGGCATGTGCACTGACCATTGGGCACCCTGCGCCTTGCCCCGCCTTCCCGCCTGAGGGGTGCCTAGGCATTTCACCATGCTTCCGAAGCGCCTGATTAGTCTGCTGCTTGCCGGCATCATGGCCCTGTCGGCCGTCCAGGCGGCCGTCGTCAAGTTCGACCTCCCGACCGTCCGCGAGGGCAGCAACAGCTGGGTCTGGTGCGTGACGCGCCCCTCAATCCAGACCGGGGCCGAGAGACACCCCTACGGCCCCAGCATCAGATCCACGCGCATGCATTCTCCTCCTCTGACGCCGCCCCCCCCCCCCCC